GCATTGATTACGTATTTATTTTCACTCCAGTTTTTGAAGGAATTTTTTGGCACAAATTTATGCAATAAATTGGTATTTATTTTTGTCCATGGAAATGAAGCAAATTATCGAAACAATTCAAGAGACCCAAATGTTGTAATTCTAGTTGGTCAATAGGCTATGAAGATACAAAATTCAAAAAAATCAGTGGCGCACATTTTATTGACTATAATATTCGGTAGGTTGCTCCCCGGGACGCCATTGGATTTCATAATTTCAATTGAATCATGGCAATACCAGCCCCTCATGACAAAAAATATCATTGCCAAATTTCAATTCATAAAAAAACGATCTTTTTTTAAAGTTTTAACACACTGTATGTTGAAAACTATGCATTTCCGGACCCACGTACATATGAACTGAATTTCCTATTTCATCATGTAGAATAACCCCTTTGATTATTTGCGCATAATTTCCGGACACCCTGTATATCCGGGAAAAAAGTACTCACTTTTCCCCATGGGAAAAAAAGTGATTTATGAAAAGTGACATTTTGCAACCTGTCAACAGAGATGAAATGTCAAACTCTTTTTCGGACACAGGAAAACCAGTATTTTCCGGTCTTCTTACGTAAAATACAATATTGTTTCAAGCGTAATATACTATTGTTTCAAGCTTCGATCGACATTTGTAGCAGTTTTTCACCATCGAATTTTTTTTACAGCTTAGCTACTTTTTGTATAAGACATCCTGTATACTTACGTTTATACCTAATTCAAAATAACCGTGGTATCATTTTTCTCATTTATATTATTGGCCGTACTAATTTATAGTCGAATTACGAAATTCAAGTACGTGTTTTAATGGCTAAAATTTCCGGAAGAAGGTAGCAATCGTATATCAGCTCAATTTATGGCTTCGAATGCGGCAAATACTGTTTTGAATCAAAATGAAGTTATAGACATCACACTTACCAACAAACTCCAGAGAGTTTCAAACTCATATTCAGAATTCATAAAATCGGAAACTAATGGAACAAGTTATATAGGGATGAAGATATAAAAATAGATATTTACGTAAATAATGACCAGTTCTATATACAGTGAGGACGTAAAAAGTCCTCCCCACCCCCTTTTACCTTTAAACGGAAAAAGCTAGCGAGGTCGGGTAAAATTCAGGCAAAAAGGTACCTCTTTTACTACTATTTGACATGAAAATGGTTGTGGTCACGTGACCTAGTCCTAGTATCAAGTGGGCACCACCAATTTTTTTTTCAAAGTCAAAGAGGGGTCACGTGGTACCTTGTTTTGAAGGCCTTCAGATTCTCTATCCAACACCGCTTTGTTTGTACAAATCGGCCAAGCCGTTTCAAAATGACAAGCGTTTGAAATTTGCTTCAAATATTAATATTAATGCATAAAAAATCTGAATAAATTTCAATTGCAACATGATTTCAAGTAGGAATTGTAACAAGTGCTCAAACATGCTCGAAATGTTCATCGTTCACTTATTGACACTGAAAAATCGGTTTTGGAATTCAATCCGAACGTGATTTACTGTTTCCCAGGTACATTTCAAACGCTTGTCATTTGGAAACGGCTTGACTGATTTTCACACACAATGCAGAGTTGGATAGAGAATCGAAAGGCCTTCAAAACAAGGTACCACGTGACCCCTCTTCATTTAAAAAAAAAAAAAGTTGATGGTGCCCACTTGTCACTATGTCACGAGACCACAACCATTTCCATGCCAAATAGTAGTGAAAGAAGTACCTGTTTGCCTGGATTTTACCCGACCTCGTTAGCTTGTTCCGTTCAAAGGTTAAAGGGGGAGGAGGACTTTTTACGTCCTCACTGTATACTTGAGTTCTACCGATTATGAACAAAATTTAGTAGGCAAGTTGACTTCGCCCGTCACTTTGAAGTATCCGTCAAACAATAATATATGTCCCAAATCAGCGACGAAATTCACGAAATAAACTCTTTTCGTATCGTTTCATATCTTAATTAGTGGAAAATGGCTGATTCAAATTCAGATATTCCAAGTGATATGGAGGAAGCAGCAACTAGTTACGTAAAGTTATACGTTCAAAAAAATTTCGTCAGTTTTGAAATTACATGTCAAAATTGAAAAAAGATATATACAGGGTTTTTCACTTAAAATTCCGCACGCCAATACCTCGAAAACGAATAGAAATATTTAATTTTTGTATAAAGTCGCCGATGGATGTGGTCAAGTAGATTTTTTTCGAAGGTGAAAAAATGCAACGCCTACTAAGAGGTGAGCGTCGCGACGCGTCTAAAATATAAATCGATTGCATTGACTTTAAAATTACGTTCACTCAATAGTACATGTTATATATAAACATTATTGTAATTTACTTGAACTTATTTATATTATAGTCATTTCTGAGTTATACCGGTTTATAGTGAACGGTTCGTGATTGACAAAAATATTACGGATGCTTTTCACAAGAGTCTCATGAATATTAGTTACTACGCAACCATTGTTATGGCAATTGTTTTACAAGCAAACGACTTGGAAAGATTTTTGCATCAGGGACCCTTCTATGCGGATAACGCTGTGCGTAATAGTAATTTTCCTAACAAGTGCGGAAAGTGATTCTTTCCCGCACGCGACTGCCGTTGACGCGAACGACGCGAAGCGGTTATTAATTTCAAGCTCATATCACGTGATTTGAGTTTATCATTTCACAGGTTAACTTTGATACCCCATCAAACTTTGTTTGATTTTTCAATGTGTGATTGTCACCTTTGGCAATCTAAGGGCAAAGTGCCGGCATTCATGAAGTACTGCTGAAGCACTCTTTCAAGTGTCTTATCAATGACGGCTAAATGGACTGTCTGACGGGTTATACATGACTGTTCATTCAGCGAAAATCGCCAAATCGCCCTGTAATGAAATTCTGAAGGGACGGCAAGTGGCGTCATCTATTTCAACACCAGAATTAACACTAGTGTTCTAATGGTAGAATCGAGGCTGAAATTGAAAATCATCAGAAAAGTGTACATGAAAAACCATACTTACCAATGCCTTCCAAAATAAAATTCGACCATTCTTGCTGTGGAGTTTATCACTGGGTATGAGATTCGAAAAAGCAAACCCGATATTTGATACGATTATTCATACATTCCATTTCATACGCTAGAAGGCTGTACATACATGATGAAGACACAACTAGCAAACCTGAATAAATAAACTACCAGAACTAAACACAAAGAAGAATGCTTGATTGAATGAAAATCCGAAATAGTAAAGGAATTTATCGATATTCAACAGAACACATCAGGGACCTGACAGTGACAAAGTTTTGACACTTGATAATAATAATAATTCAATATAACCTATGTTATCGGAAAACAACCGAATGAGAGCTGAACAAATGACTTCTCCGCTAAGGACGGCAAGTAAACCCCTCTGGTGGAGAATACACTGAACTGAGTGATTGGACAGTCATGTAGTACTCGTCAGACAGTCCATTTAGCCGTCATTGGTCTTATATATTTCTATAGTCAGTCGTCATTTCCCAAGCAGTTCGGTGTTATCTGGGAAAGGTGATTCTTGACAGAAATACGAATTATATCTAGGGTTGGGAAAACAACTTAGTTTGAAAGAGGGGTGACTGGCTTACTGAAAATATCGTCTATAAGCACTATTTTACCTCGCCTACTAGGTTATCATTCAAAACGACAATGCCCCAGCAATCGTACTTGAACTATTACCCCACGTGTGAATGTTGGAAGAAGAGACAGAGATTCCTGTAAAATATCTTCTCAGAATGCAAACACACCCGATTCGTTATCACCTTTTATGAGAATTACTTATAAATTATTGAACGAACTTCGCCTGTAAACTGACTTGACTTCTCGAAAAATGTCAGAATTAAAATTAAATTAATCATCTTCTTCTACGGGGTGTTCAAATTGCTGGCGTGGTGTGCTGCAATTCTCCGTCGCCTATTGCGGCTGTTCTTGTATTTTCAACATCTCCCGTTCGATCGCTCCAGAATATAAAAAAAATTCGCCGCCATTGCTAGATTAAGATAAGATAAGATAAGATAAGATCTTTATTTTCCAGTAGACAACACAACATTGTATAGGAATAGTCAAAAACTTAAATCTAGGTAAATGTAAATGTACAAACACGAAAAATCACAGGTTTGAAGTCAAGATACCAATTAAAATAGGAATTTTCTTACTAATATCCTAAAACAAACATGCATGTCAGAATAAAAGCCTACAGACAAGACATAACAGTTCTATGACATAAACTCTTCAACACTATGTAGACATTTTTCTATTAGAACTTCTCGCAATTGTTTCTTGAACAGTTTAATACATTTACTTTCTTTTATATATTTTGGCAATTTATTAAATATCCTGGGCGCCATAGAGGAAGGAGAGTTGAATGATACGCTATATTTATTAAAAGGTACATGAAGGTCATTTTTGGTTCGGGTATCAAATTGATGTCTGACTTTATTGGTTCTGAATAATGTGCCTCTGTTCTCGAATGAGTATACAGAGAGTTCAAAAATAAATAATGAAGGTAGGGTTAAAATTTTATAGTTTTTAAAGACATCCCTGCAACTTGTACGGCTCGATATACCAACGAGAGAACGCAAAACTCGCTTTTGGGCAATAAAAACATCGTGTGAGGATACAGATAAACCCCATAGACATATACCATATCGCAATCTACTATCAGCTTGTGCATAATAGAGTGCAAGTAGTTGATTCATTTCCAATACTTTCCTAGTGGTTCTGAATTGATATGATAATGAATTCATTTTTGATATCAGCGATTGACAGTGAATTTTCCAGTCCATACATGAATCGATTTGAAAGCCTAGAAACGATATGACGTTACTATTACTCGAGACATTTGGCAGATTCGTTCTGATCGGTCTAAAAATGCGTCAATTCCGAAAGTAATGTTTGTTTGATCTCTTGCACACTATCATCGCCTCCCGAGATCTTGACATCTTCTTTCTTCTGTAGGCTGCCAGCTACGGAAAGAAGAACGGCATCTGGTACGCCGCCCCCGGAGGCGGGCAGGGCTGGAGCAAGGCGACGAGCAGGAAGGCGTCGATCGCGGAAGTGGAGGCGCCGCCCCCTGGCGCCGGCAGCCCCGTCAAGCCCACCTCTGGCAGGGTCATCAGGATCGTCAACAACGTGGATCACACCGTACAGGTGTGTCAACATTTTTTTCGGATATGTTCTTAATATCTCATTACGATAAGTTTCTAATATCCCATTACAATGAGTTCCTAATATCTCATAACAAACACAATGAGTTCATAATATTTCATCATGATGAGTTCGTAATATCTCCTTACAATGAGTGTGCAATATCTCAATAAAATGAGTTTCAAATATCTCATTACAATCAGTTCATAATATCCCATTACAATGAGTTCCTAATAATGTATCATTACAATAAGTTACTGTATAATATCTCATTACAATGATGAGTTCCTAATACCCCATAACATACAATGAGTTCATAATATTTCATCACAATGAGTTCGTGATTTCTCAGTAGAATGAGTTCCTAATATCTCAGTACAATGAATTTCTAATATCTTCATTACAATGGGTTTCTAATATTTTATTACAATAAGTTCCTAATATCTCAGTTCAATGAGTTCTTGATATCTCATTACGATATAAAGACAAATTACCCAAAAGTAATTACAGAATAGACATACATTCTGGATTGAATCTTGATTCCAGAACGAATTTAACTTAGCATTATAACAAATTATCCGAGACATTACCGATAACAAAATTTCCATTAAGTATTCAGTCACAAGTAAATATAACAAATTACCAAAGTTATCCGGGTCATTTGAATGAGTACTCATCATTTGAGTTACCATATCGCAATATAATGTGAATTATCTTGCCAAAGTCACTATAATTATTCTTATTACATTGCATTTCTAATATCTCATAACAATGAGATGAAAAACCAATTCCTATGAAAAATATCATGATATAACTAAAAAAGCTAATATAACAGGTTACCAAAGCCATATTGATGAGTTATCCAATTTCTTATAATGGATTCTACCCATCGCCATCAGTCATTCCTAAAATGTCATGAAATGATCAGTTACAAATCAATATAAAAAGTTGCCAAGGCCATAATTATGAGATATATCATTATTATGAATTACCTATCGCAGTATAACTAATTACCCAAGTCATTACCTATAAAAAATTACCCTATATTGAGAATCATATGTTACTGGCAATTATGTTGCAAATCGATATAATAAACGAGTCTCATTTTGAAATGAGTTACCTATCTCATTATAATGAGTTACCTATCTCGTTATAATGAGTTACCTATCTCATTATAATGAGTTACCTATCTCATTATAATGAGTTTCCTATTATATTGAATCAAGTAAGCAACGTTGCCAACATTTCAGCATTTCTAACTGGAAAATTTTGAAAAATAAAAAACAAGAAATGATAGTACATCAAAATATAAGTGGATATTAAGATCTTTCAAACAAACGCGATGGCCGGAGTGCTCGATTAAGAGCAAGTGTTTGAAGGACCAGTTATCCACGAATACTTGAGGCTATTTTTTGTTATTGGTGAATTTTGAGATCATAAATATGGAAATAACAACTAATAATGTAAGATGATTGAACTTTATTTTCTTTTTCACGTCTCTCGGGTCATTGATGTTGCCGTGTGTTGCCGTGGTAACTTCATTAAGGAACGCTGTGAATAAACAAAATAGGGTAACAATAAGAGAAAACTTCAAAACCAAAATTAATTTTGCATAAAAAATTAGAAGGTACATACCTGATCCAAATAAGAATATTCTAGATTTTCTTGCAAATTTTCCTTATCATTCTTCGTCTTCTTCAGTGTCGGGTGCTTTTGAATCTCCGTACGTCTCAACCATTCGAAGAAGTATTAGAAGACCTCGGTCAGGTACTGAAGATGAACGGGGCGAAACGTATGTACACCGTGTCGGGACAGGAAGTTAGGAGTTTCTCTCAACTCCGAAACGAATTCGCCGATGTGGACACCTTCTATCTAGGGGCAAGTACCAAAAAACAAAATTTTCCACTATATTACTCAATACAATAATTACATTTCTTGTGAGCCATTGTTACATTTTTTGCGTCACATTTCCATTTCTTTTATTATTCCATCGTTCAAGTTTGACCCCCTTGATTGGGTATGAAAGTATTGAAAAAGAATATTCTCAGAGATATTATGAACATGAAAACATGTATATATTTATACAGGGTGTCCATAAATGGTCTGTACAAAATCCTAGCACATCAAAACTAAGCCTATTTAAAGGCAATTTACCTCAGTCTGAAAATGCTCCAGTTCCAAGATACAGGGTGGTGAAGATAAAAAATGAAACTCGACGAAGAAAGTATTTTGAGACATCCATTTTTGTACTGCTAATTCACCTCGTAATTCACTAACCGAATGACATCCAAGAAGATAACAGAAAACATTTTTTATTCAGCCTGACTTTAGCGGATTTTCAAAAGGGTATCTGTTTTGCTTAAAAATGTTCATGAAGTTATTTCCTCAATGAATAATAAAGTAAAAAACTACACTGAGAAAATAGTTATGTCTATGTCTTCTTATGTATATAAGAAGTGCCTTGGTAAGCGCCCTTCAATGTCCACAGAGAAAAAAAGTTCGTATTCGTGTTTCGCATCCCAAAAAACCCCTAATATCAATTGTTCAAGTATTACGTTTGAAAATGTTCATAAATCCTGAGAAATTCGATTTTTATTCTTTAACTTTACCACCCTGTATCTCGGAAACGTGGCAATTTCGGACTGTCGTAAGGTGCTTTAAATCGGCTCATTTTGACATGTGCTCAGATTTTTTACAGACTTTTTAGGGACACTGTACAAAGGAATACATTGAGAATTCGCATTTTCTATGTGATGAAAATATCATTTAATTTCTGTATATTCAACAAAAAACAAGTACTTTCCTGACTATATGCCACGACGAACATTCAATTATATTTATTCAGGAGAATGCATAATGTAAACCTCAAGATATTTTATTTTCAAATTGATATCGATTGTGTTCAATGTTCGTCGTGGCATATAGCCAGGAAAGTAGTTGTTTTCTGTTGAATAAACCGAGAAAGAATTAATATTTTCATCACATAGAGAATGCCAATTCTCAATGTATTTCTGTATAAATATGTATATCAATTTTTTCATGTTCACATAATATATCTGAGAATATTCCTTTGCAGCACAATAAATTTGTTATATTCGCAGGTGGGTAGTTTAGGGGGAGCTGTTACCCCAGCTGTGATGCTATCCCCCGTTCGAAGGGCCAGGTCTAGGGCTCCACAAACCGCTATCGTCGAAGATATTAGCAAGCAGCGAAGGGCTAGAAGCAAAAGTAGACCTAGGACGTTGTATGCTCCCGAAAGTGAAATTGTTAGGACCAATGGTGAGTATCTCTTTATAAATAATTGTTTAGTCGATATAATATATGGCAATTATTCACACTTTTGTTGGATGAGTAGAGATAGAAGCACTTCGGATATCCCCCACTACCTTCAATTTCAGACCCACCCCGAAAATGTAGGCCAATCAGCCTTGGGGATCAATTCAGATATAATGTGATGAAAATTTTACTTTACTAATTTTACGATGGTATACCGGGTGGACTGGGGATTTCTCCACAACCAACATTGGATTTTTTTTTCAGATTATACATTACTTGAAGTTTTGAAAGAAGAACCAGTTAGAGTAACGATCAAAGGTCTAAGAAGGACTTTTTATCCACCAATTCACCATTCGACTGTCGACAATACCCCACCAGAAAAGAAAATGCAGTTGGAATGGGTGTATCCTTGAACAAACATAAATTTCATCTGAACCCTGACAATAATCATGCATTTTTTATGCTTTCCCTTTCACTTTTTTCTTCAAAAGTTCTGTATTTAGATGGTGGAAGTCCGAAAAGAAACAAAACATTTCTATTTGCATTGTATGCGTGTTTAGACGGTTGAAAACCACAAGCTCATTCAATTGATCTGGAAAAAAGTGGGACGTCTGGAAAATTAGCACATTTATAATCGTGAATATGCATGTCGGTCAGCAATTTCTGCCTAGGCAATGGAAAAAAAGGCGTGTCTTGATTTTGATCATACTTCGATAGCTGTTCTCTATTCCCTAAATGGCTTCGATAGTCTCTGAAGTTTAAAAATAACTTGTATAATAATAAGGGACAGTATTTGAATATTAGACTCGATCCTCTGATGATAAAAGTTCTCCCCTGACTTTATCAGTTCATTTTTCAAAAAATAACTCACTCCAGATCTTTCGTTCTTAGTGTTCTTATCTGTTCTTATCAGTAGGTATACGGCTACTTAGGCTACTTAGGATCACTCCACCAGCACCAAAATGATATGGTTATTTTCTTCCTTCAGAAGAAACGAATATCGTCAACTGAACATCCCCTTTCCTACTTTTTCATCCCCGCCTTGAGAAAATTCGCAATATTGCAGTTTTTTAATAGTTACCGATTTTTTTCTTTTTTCCATAAGATCAACTTTCACTGCAGAAAAAAATGAATGAAAAAGGAACTTCGCTGCTACCTACAAAAACCACATTCATCCAGAGATCAAATATGATTCCCTTGGTCAATACGACGTTGCCGTCATCATCAATATGTCTAGAGTTCCGGAAATTATAATAGTTTTTTTAATCCTACTTCGAACTTCGCCGAGTATTATAAATAATTTTCATAAATCTCTTATTTGCTGGCTGGAGTGAATTACTAATGGAGGCTCATCATGATATTCTACAATAGTACCTATGATATTTTCACTTTTGTTACATTACAAAACTAGCTGCCGGCCCGCATTCGCACGGTTGGTGTACCCATTTAAAAAAAATACATTTTTTGTAGTCGTTCTGAACTATGCGCGTATCTACAGTACATATTTTTTGTCATCTCTCGTATTTTTTTGTTATTTTACCTATTAAAACTTTCAAACCAATTGGTCAAATCGTTTAGTAGTTGACGTACCGATAGCAGTGCCAGCTACCGCATCCAATTGCATTTTCAAATCATACAGGAAACCATCGAAATATCCATATAAAATTTAGTCAGTCATTATTTTGCAGATGAATTCGTTCCTTTATAAAACGGATTTTTTTAAAGGAAAGTTGCAGATTATATCTTGCAACAGCGCATAATACTTTGAGCCCGTCCACACCACACAAAATACTGATAGGCACACTGGCAGCTGAACAGCGATATTGATATTGTGGTTATGTATGTTTTTGTTTACCAGTTTTACTTGTGTCGATTTTTTATCACTATACTCATTCGTTAGCCTATGTCTACAGTTTATAGTTGTTCTGTTAGTTAGGTGATCTGCTATTTTTCATGTTATAAACATTGACAACCAAGGCTATCAACACCGAGGCCAAGTTGTCTTCTTCTATTTTTTTATTCGCTTTCATTCGTTAGCTGTTCCCTAGCTATATTCTTCCTCATTAACTATATCTTTGAGTATTCAGGCCTATATTAATACCTAATTAAGACTAGACTCAGAATTTACGTCACAGTTTGCTATCCCGAAAATTGGAAATTGCTTCATTTTGAATACGACGTGGAAATGAATCAGAGGAGTTCCGAACTTATTTCATAAAAATTCATCATCATGTTGGAAACTAATTAATGCATGGCTTGTTTTTTGATTGATTTATAAATTGCCGTTTTTGCTGTTGAATTCCTTGTGCCGATCAAAACATGTAAGGTATATTGAAATTTCTCTTTCGTTTCATTGTCATGTTGTATTGTAGGAAAGTTTTATCTCGGCTAAACATTGTGGTATTTATTAGCACGCAAAAAGGGACGCACGAACGCTTACAAACTTATTTGAACCATTGAAAGGCCTTGCATTAGATATAATAAGAGTAATTTGCGGTAAATTGTGTAATTTTCTTTACCCACTGACCTTGGAAAATACGAAAAATGTATTTTGACACGTGTGATTTTAGATTTGAAGGATCAATGAAGAAATAACTTATGAAATTGTATGTGGCTTTTTATACAAAGACCGTCACACATAGACTATACATTATTCATTCGCTTTTCAAATGTCTATTTAATGTGAATTTATGTCAAAATATGTTCGAACTGAGAATTCCATTGTATAATAATTGACGATAAAATCCTATATGAATGCTTTCATCTAGTACTGAAAACGTTATACAGTGCTTTTCTTTAATGTCCCCCTCTTTTATTTGTTGAACGGGTCAACTGAAAAAATCGAAACTTGAGATAATGGAATTAATGCATAAATACTATATTTTGGAGTGAAATTGACACATGAAAATGTCAAGATGGCGACTGGGCGCCATCTGGAAAAATAAAATCAAATTGACACATCCTTTTAAAGCTCCTAACGAATACTTTACAACCCTATAATATAAAAGTCAATATCTTCATCAACTACAAGATGGCGGAACATGTAATAGTTGTAAATACAAACACAGTAATGTGGATATTGTATCCCAACAAGATGGAGTACCACCACATTACTCCAGACAAGTTAGAAACCGTTTGGATAATACTTTCCAATCGTTGAATGGCCGTCGAGGTCCTAGGGAATGGCCAGCCCGTTCGCTAGATTTGACACCTTTAGACTTTTTTACAGGGCTATTTCAAACAGAAAGTGTACGAAACTGTACCTGCTTCAATATTGGATATACGTCAGACAATGATGAATATTTGAAGAAAAATCGACCTACTGTGGTTTGAAAGTGTTCCACATGAAATACTAGATAAGCTGTTCTTATGTCAATGAGATCTAGGCAACCATTTCGGGCATCTTCTGAACTGAATCCAGCTTATTTCTTCAAATTATGAAGTTAAACGTCGATGTATTCCGGTAATTATTAAATGTTCCGTCATTTCGTAGTGAGTGAAGATATCGACTTTATATTCTAGGGTTGTGAAGTATTTGTCAGGAGCTACAAAAGAATGTATCACAAGACCCCCTTTCCATTCGATTTTTATTTCTCAGATGACGCCCAGTCGCCATCTTGAAATTTTCATCTGTCAATTTTACTTCAAAATATAGTATTCATGCATCGATTTCATTATTCACAGTTTCAATGTTTCGAGTTGATCCATTCAAAAAATGAATGGAGTAGGGGGACATTGAAGAAAAGCACTGTTCCTAACTTTCACAGGAATGACTGGTGTTTGTCACAGAACTCCCATTGTCACTCTACTAACACAACCAGAAAATATGTAGATACAATATCGATACTCAATCTTGTTTTCTACTCGCTATGGGTCCCGTCGATAATTTTCATTTTCTGCTGTATTTTTTCACCATTTTTTGTGGGTTGTTCCTCAACATAAACTATTCAGATACGGGTATCGAGGAACAGATTCCAGGCGGAACCTTTGGGTACTCCCCACTGGGGAACTGCTTTATTTTGTAGCTGCAGTAGCTGTCATGTATGACCGAGATGAAGAGACCCAAAGACATTATATCGGACATACAGAAGATATACAGTGGTAAGTTTTCTGTCAATCCGTCTCAATTTGTTTTATCAATCATACATAACCTGTTGCTTTCATCATTGTAGTAGTTTTCCGACAAATTCAGACGAATAGGTGTGTACAATTTATTTTCAGTATGGAATTACACCCTTCGAGGGAAATGGTTGCATCAGGCCAAAGGGCAGGTAGAAACAGAAAAACTCAAGCCCACATCAGAATATGGAGTACAGAAACACTGCAGACACTGTATGTTTTCGGTATGGGAGAGTTCGAGGTGGGAGTAGCCGCAGTAGCTTTTTCGCAATTGGTGAGTAGTGAAGACTATATTCGAAAAGTATGTTTTCGAAAATCACACACACACAACACACCTCCTGGCACCTATTTTATAGAACATCCAAACTCTATAGGTCTTCAAAAATGTTTGTCATCGATAGAAAACATTGTTTTTGCCAAAAATTGTGGTTTGTAACGTTCTCTCAATCACTAAAATATACTGTTCGATAGGGTTGAAATGTGACATGTACTCATTTGTTTTTGATTATTTTTTTCAGAATGGAGGTAGTTACGTTTTAGCTGTAGATGCAGGACGAGAAAGCATTTTATCAGTATGGCAATGGCAATGGGGCCATCTCTTAGGGAAAGTTGCTGTGAGTATGAATTTTCAGAAGATCACCTGGTATAAGGCAAATTTTGCAAAAAAGATGAAAAAAGTTCAAGAATTGAGTCAAAGAATTTGCTGTTAGTTGTTTATGGATTTTATTGAAAGAAAACTCAAGTGGGCAGACAGTGGTTCATTATTTTTTGTTTGTTGACCTTCTCATGCAAACCTCTACCACGAGTGTACGATAATGAAAATTGCAGGTTGTAACTATACCATGTCTCAGGTCGTTTATTCCTAACGACACATCGAATATTTAATAAGTAATGAATTCAAAGAAATGTGCATAAATATTATTTCGTGAGGCATTTTGCATAACGCGTCCTTTGTTTTGATGGGCGTTCGAATCTTGAAGAAAAATACAGTCTTGGTAATGAATCATAATTTTTTTTTTGTTAATACGATGGGGATATAAATGTATGCTGAATCCTGTTTGAATATTCTATAATGAAAATATCGAATTGTCAATTGACTCAGCCTTCACTTGATATTAGGAAGATACTTCTGAAGATGAAATGAATTCATTGTTTTCTACGCCAACACAATTTTTCTGTATTTTCCGAGTTACGGAAAAACACTATTCAAGTAAAAAGAAATCGTTTTTGACATATTCAGAGAACTTTTTAACGTCTGGTTTTTCCTCAAATGATGATAGCTTTGGATTTAAAAAATGAACCGCTCTATACATCATCACTATACATAATCACTAATTCACTTCTCGCCCTCACTTATGTAATATTATAGGTATGTTTAGAACAAAACAGAGATTCAATAATTTTGATCGAAATATGATGGTTGTATATAAAATAGTATACAAACCTCTGTAGAAAGTTTCATTCCTGTCTCGAGATCATAGCTTACCTCGACTTACTAATCTCACGACAGGAATGAATATCTTCCCACCAAGGTGTATAATATGCTATTCGTCGATTTAAACTCGGAAATAAATTTTTGTTCAATTTTTAGACTTTGCAAGAAGAGCTGACAGGAGCAGTGTTTCATCCTCTAGACGACAATCTGATGATAACCCACGGAAAAGGACATCTGACATTTTGGAACAGGAGGAAAGATGGTTTTTTCGAACGCACGGATATCATAAAACCAGTGAGTTCATTTTTTGATATGAGTTTTGGATTTCGAATTATGAACGGAAAAACTCACTTTCCATCAGAACTAGATCGACTATAGCAGTTTATGATTCATCAAATCAACTTCATATTTGTTTATTATACCATTGAATAGAGCTGATAATTCCCTTTACAGTCTTGCATAACATGTTGACATTTTCACATGAAATACCGCTAAAGAACAGTAAAAATATTTCCAAATGTGGTAGGCCATGGAAATAGGAAATCGAAATATCAGTCGACATGACTACAGTATCAATCTCCAATATTAACCAAGTTTTCGTTTAAAAACAAATTTTAGGAACAGCTGACATTTCAATGAATTGCTATATTGAAAAGGTTCACATCACCGTTGATGAAATAGCACTACTGTCTCTATTAAATCGGTGGGACCCTGTATACTGCATTAGCGGAAGCAGAAATGTTTACTACTATGGCAGTGGACGGCCTAAATAGGTTTACTGCTTCAGCTGTTCCTGTATATCATTACGACAGTCGCAAAAACTATCTTTTTTTTTTTGTTTAGCCGTCGAGGACCCTCATAACGTCCTTGCAGTTCGAGCAAGACGGTGACGTCATAACGGCAGACAGCGACGGCTTCATCACAATCTACAGCGTCGACGCAGATGGCGCCTACTTTGTGCGCATGGAGTACGAGGCGCACAACAAGGGCGTTTCGTCCTTGATCATGCTGTCCGAAGGGACACTCTTGTCTGGTGGCGAGAAAGACAGACGCATAGCCGCCTGGGATTCCCTGCAGAATTACAAGAAAATCACCGACGTCAAGGTGAGAGAATTCTTGGTTGTCTGGCTAAAGTGACCCCACACCTACTCACTACTTGAAATGAGCTCCAAAAGTCGTTTCGTATCAGCTAGTGCTCTAGGATCTCTGTGACAACAACAAGGGTGTCTCGTCCTTGATCATGCTTTCCGAAGGGACACTCTTGTCTGGTGGAGAAAAAGACAGACGCATAACCGCCTGGGATTCCCTGCAGAATTACAAAAAAAATCACCGTGGTCAAGGTGAGAGATTTCTTGGTTGTCTGGCCAAAGTGACCCCATACCTACTCACTACTTCAGATGAGTTTAGAAAGTCATTTCGTGTCAGTTAGTGCTCTAGGATATCTTTGTCTTGTTCCTGATTCTCATACATGATTATATCTATTGAATTCTCCTATCGAGAGGGTTTTTTCGATTATTTCCTCAATGGAGTGCGAGTAGACAACAAGGGTGTCTTGTCCCTGATCATGCTGTCCAAAAGGACACTTTTGTCTGGTGGCGAGAAAGACAGACGCATTGCCGCCTGGTATTCCCTGCAGAATTACAAGAAAATCACCGACTTTAAGGTGAGAGAATTCTTGGTTGTCTGACCAAAGTGACCCCATACCTACTTACTACTTCAGATGAGTTTAGAAAGTCATTTCGTGTCAGTTAGTGCTCTAGGATATCTTTGTCTTGTTCCTGATTCCCATACATGATTATATCTATTGAACTCTCCTATCGAGAGGGTATTTTTCGATTATTTCCCCAATGGAGTGCAAGTAGACAACATGGATGTCTCGTTCCTGATCATGCTGTCCGAGGAGACTCTCCAGTCTCTGGTGGATTCCCTGCAGAATTACAAAAAATCACCGACGTCTAGGTGAGAGAATTCGTGGTTGTCTGGCTAGAGTGACCGCATACCTACTGACCACTTGAAATAACTTTCGAATGCTTTTGCTGCTCTAGGATCTCCGTAACTTGTTCCTGATTCTCATAAATGATTCTGTCTATTGAATTTTCCTAACGATGAAGTTTTCTTCGTGTATTTCTTCAATGGAATGAGAAGCGAACAGCAAGGGTCTCTCATCCCTGATCATACTGTCCGAAAGGACACTCTTGTCTGGTGGCGAGAAAGACAGACGCATAGCCGCCTGGGATTACCTGCAGAAGAAAATCACCGACGTTAAGGTGAGAGAATTCTTGGTTGTCTGGCTAAAGTGACCCCATACCTACTCACTACTTGAAACGAGTTTTGAACATTTCGTGTCGGTTGGTGCTCTAGGATTTCTTTGTCTTGTTCCTGATTCTCATACATGATTATGTCTATTGAATTCTATCGAGAGGGTATTCGATTATTTCTTCAATGCAGTGCGAGGCGCCTAACAAGAGTTTATCGTCCCTGATCATGCTGTCCGAAGGGACTCTCCTGTCTCTGGTGGGGAAAAAGACAGACGCAGAGCCGCCTGGGATTTCCTGCAAAATTACAAGAGAATCACCAACGTCAAGTTGAGAGAATTCTTGGTTTTCTGTCTAGAGTGACCGCATACCTACTGACCACTTAAAATAAGTTTCGAATGCTTTTGGTGCTCTAGAGGATCTCCGTAACTTGTTCCTGATTCTCATGATTGATTCTGTCTGTGTTTTTTTTGTGTATTTCTTCAATGGAATAAGACGTGAACAACAAGGGCGTCTAGTCCCTGATCATCCTTTCCGAAGCGACTCTCCTATCTCTGGTGGAGAAAAAGACAGACGCATAGCCGCCTGGGATTCCCTGCAGAATTACAAGAAAATCACCGACGTCAAGGTGAAATAATTCGTGGTTGTCTGGCTAAAATGACCCCATACGTACTCACTACTCAAAATGAGTTTTGACTACTTTTGGAAGCCAATTCGTGTTGTTCAGAGCTCTAGGATATCCGTGATGTGTACCTGATTCTCATGAATGTATCTATCTGTTGAATTCTCCCAAGGACAAGTTTTCATCGTGGATTTCTTCAGTGTCTTTGAAATTATGGAATTTAGACGAAACCTAGGTTTTCTCAACACGGGGTGTTTGTCAGGCCAAATGTCCTTGCATAATGTATACTTTGATGGTCCTTGAGGAGTACAATAACTCATTCTCAATTCTCATAAATGTTTCTATTTGTTGAAATTGCGAGGTTCATATATGATATTCATAACAAGTGTTCGTCTGGCTAAGCTGACCCCATGCCTACTGATCACTAAGTACGATATTTCTATACAATTAAACCACTATTTCTTCATAACTTGGTCTTGATTCCCATGAATAAATATTGTATGTAATTTTCTTGATGAGTAGGTGATTTCCTTCAAAATGTCATTGAATTTGTGAAATTCGTGTGAACTTGACAAGAACAAATTGTTTGTCTTGCAAAACTGACCCCATTCGTACAAACTCCTTCGAATCGAATTGAGTTATTTCAAAATTCCACACATATTTTCATATTCTCATTACGGTTGGTATCTGCTGATTGGGTGTGTGACTATAACGAAGTCATGTTTTAGTATAATAGTCGATATTTTTTACAGCTTCCTGACGTTTTTGGTGGTGTGAGGTCAATTTATCCTCAAAGACCTGGAAGAAATGATGGAAATATTTACGTAGGAACGACTAAAAACAATATACTCGAAGGGTCTTTACAGAGGAGGTTCAACCAGGTCAGTAATCACATCCTGTGGTTCCGAAAATTCAATTTTCATTGAATGAAAAAATCATGATTTTACTTGATGGAAGGTTCTCAATTTTTTCATCACTAGAGAATTTTATGGTTTCATAACGCTAAGGTGTATGCACCCTGAAATAGAGTAAGACAAATATTGTTTATATACTTTTTTTTTTCGAACAGACGTGCGATACTCACACATACCAAGAAGTCATGAGAGGTGGTTTGGTTAGGGAAAACAGCACATTTTCAGCTGTAGTTAAACAGAATGAACGACCTCACTTCAAACAGGTATTTTCTCATATTTTTTAAAGTACAATCTTATGTGAAATTTTGAATGTTGCCTGTCATTCTGACACTATTGTATGTTGTGAGTCATCGTGCACGATTAAACGTCTTCATTATCTCATGGACATCAATCAAAATTTAATATCACACTATAACTTGCACCCACACAAATCTCGTACTGGTTTTGATGTCACTTATTTTTATGTTAATTTAATATCACTAAAAATCAGTGTTGCATTATTTGGCATCAAATATTGAATTCTGCATGGAGAGGATCGTGACTTCAATATCATCGCGTTTGTGACAATAATGTAATAACACAGAAAATCAAACGTCACTTGAATTCACATTGATGTCGCTATAAAATTGGATGAAGTCACTAAAATACGTCATTTCGTAGCGTTCATATTTATTATGATGTAATTCGGTGTCATCTTGTACTGATGACACTAAAATGTTGTGCAACGTAGTTTTGATGTCACTAAAATTTGGTGTCACGTAGTTTTGATGTCGCAAAAATTTGTTGTGGATTCGACCAATGATCACCTATGACTCGGAGGATTGAGGACTAGGATTTTTGATTTCCAGGTCGTTTTTGGACACGGTAGACAATTGTGGGGTCTAGCAGTGCATCCGGACGATGAAGTTTTCGCCACCGCAGGACATGACAAAAATATCGCTCTATGGAGGAAAAATAAACTCATTTGGGTCACTCAAGTGAGTCACGATACCAATCACATGACTTCCAACTCGACATAATATTGTACCATATGTTTTACGAATATATTTTTTTCAGGTTTCCTTCGAGTGTATAACTTTGAATTTCCACCCTTTTGGAGTAGCCCTTGCGGTTGGTAGTACCGAAGGACATTTGATTATCATAAATTCGGAAACGGGTGTGGTAGTTAATACTATAAGGGTTTGCGGATCGCCCCTTAACTGCGTAGCATTCAATCCATGTGAGTGGGAGTTGTTTGTATCTTAAATATGCAGGGTCGTGGCTCCGTCAAGCGACTCGCCTGAAGGTTTTTTTCAACAGTTTCTTCGAAGGTTTAAGATGAAATGATGAGAGTATGTTGATGTCACGTTTCATGTTGAATTCAAAAATGTGAATGAAATTCGAAATTTGTATTCAGGGAGTTTATTGAACAGGGTATCGGTAAATTAATTCAAAAATAAAGTTGTTTGTTGATTGAGGAATAGACGTATCGCTTTTAGTCCTGCTAAAACGATAGTCTTTTTCCAAGGTTTTGGATGGATAAGATGTCATTTCGTTGTCGATGAAAATAATAATAATGAAATTTCGAGTTATAAACATTTTCAATGTGACCTTTGAAAAGAGGTGCAGCAAGACCCCTTTTCCATATTCAAATTTTGAAGGTTGTTCAAACCCCAGTTACAAGTAGAAGGTTTTCATTAGCTCACCCAGTATATAGTAGAAATACAGGTACCATAGTGGCTTGTTTAATAGAGGGAGCTCAGGAGATATGAAAAAAGGTCCAAAAGAACAAGCTTTTTCTGCCTAGGCAGTACTTTTTTGCCTAGGCAGTGGAAGTACACCTTATCTGCCTGTCAAGTGTCATTAAAAAGCTACTTTTAATGTAATTTGAAGACAAAAAAATAATTCAAAGGTCCAATTCGTTATCGCTGTTTTGATCTAAGTTAGAAGAAATAATAAATCTGATGATTTACTATTGTTATAGACGGGTGCACACCCACATGTTCGATACGGGCTAACCGTTTCATAAGTAATATTAAACATCTTCAGGACAGTCCCTCCGACAGGCTGTTACGGAGCCATTTTCGACCCATGTTAACGTTTTTCTCTTACTTTTTTGTGGAATCTACTGCCAAAAAATCTCACGCTGATTATGGAAATGTTTTTTAGCTGGTGAACTGATAGCTATTGCTTCCCAGAACGGCAGTCTCTATCTGTTCAGAGTCAGTAGGGACGGTTATTCGTACAAAAAGTCCAACAAAATCAGGGGGTCCCAGCCTTTGATGCAGATGGACTGGAGCTCCGATAGTAATTTTTTGCAAACCGTTACTGCCGATTACGATTTATCGTTCTGTAAGGAATATGCGAAATATTGCTTGATGGCACTCAATAATGAAGGTTTTTTTTTAGGGGATGTAAAATCGCTGTCACCAGAAAAGAGCCCAATCGCTATGAAAGATGTCAAGTGGTATACTCATAATTCTACTGTTGGATTCATGGTGGCAGGTGAGCTTTCATTCACAAATTCAATATAAACTTTTGAGCTTGACAATTTTTTTGTTTTTCAGGAATGTGGAATAACAGATTTTATCCTATGACTTCCATTATAAGTACAGCTAGTAGATCTGCAGCTCATGATTTACTTGTATCTGGAGATACTGATGGCTATTTACGATTGTTCAGGTGAGTGAATCAATAAAAATTTGAACAATAATGCAATTGTGATTTTCAATGTAGACGTCCACGAAAAAATCACGTTCTTCTAGTTGATGGCATCGGCCTATTCTGGTCGAGTTTGTTCTGTTTGTTCATTTCTCTTTTTTCTTCAAGTTTTCTCCTCGTTTCTATGAATGAAAATATAAATATCATTTGTGTACCTAGTGAGGACAGTTTATTCAATTAATATGTTGAAAGAGGTAGCAGATTCGTCCAAACCTAAGTGGAGATTTTTTCGATATATCTACATTCCTCTTCTTCAAACACTGACTATCGATCGAATTTTCCTACTAGACTTATGATCGTGAAACTTTTAAACGCAGTGACGTTTTGGGGCAAATCCTAGACCAATAGGTCTATGGGTCAAATCATCTTATTTGTCTGCGATATTCTCTTAATGGATTGACCCAAATATTACATCAAAGTAGATGCCAAATTATGACAAACCCCTTTGTTTCGAAATTTGCATGTACTCATGTACAAAAATGTCGAAGCTATTGCGAAAAATAAGTTACCCTTGTCACTCTGTATCTCTCCTATTAGCAATCGTAATATTTAGAATTTTGAAATCTACCTACTATATTTCTATGAACAATAATTTAAGGATCACTATATATACCCTCTGACTCTGTATTTGGTTCTACTTGAGCTTTGACTAACCTGATGATACTGATTACTGACTGGCTGATTGATTAACTGATTGACTGTCTGACTGACTAGCTGAATGACCATAGATCTATACAGGGTGGGTCACGGTGGATGGCCTATTAGAAGAATCTGGAGAACGAAAAGACAGAACAATCTAAAAATTGGGATGCTTTGATAATTGAACATTCTCTATTCGTCTCAATTTTTTTTAATCGATGTTGTGTTGCCACTTCTATCAGAAACAATTAGCAACTTTGTTATTTCAAATGGTACACTCTGTATTTTATTGCATTTTAAGATTCTTCCTGAGGAGCTGATTTCATCGATGTATCATACTTGGTGTCAAGCAGATATGATAACATAAATATAAGGTATTCAAAATCTAGATTTTTCAATTTCAGGATTTTTTTGTGTCGAAACTATTAATTATTGATCAAAACGGCGTACATGACCCTATTTTAACTTTTGATTCACTATCTACTGGGATTTAATTGGAAAAAAATACAGGGTGCATGGTGGATCGAAAGTTGAGATAGGGACATGTAAACCGTTTTGATCGATAATGAATAGTTTCGACACAAAAAAATCCCAAAATTGAAAAATCTCGATTTTGAACACCCTATATCTCTTTAATCATTCCTGCTAGACCCCAAGTGTGATACATTGATAAAATCAGCTCTTTAGGAAGAATCTGAAAATGCAATAAAATACAGGTTGCTCCATTTGAAATAACGAAGTTGCTAGTTGTTTCTGATAGAAGTGGCAACACTGAATCGATGGAAACAGTTTATACGAATAGAGAATGTTCAATTATCGAAGCAACCTAATTTTCAGAATGTCCTGTTTTTTCGTTCTACAGATACTTCTAATAGGCCATCATCCACCGTGACCCACCCTGTATAGTGTGTCTCACTTTTAATGGAAACAACCCTGTGGCCTGTATCATTCGTAATTGTTGAGTTAGAATTCTGAAATTTGCAGGAGCGGAAGATATACTAATAATACACGCTATAACCAAGTGGATTCATCTTCAGTGTTATACACTGCTCGCCAACGAAATGATATCAGGAGGCAAGATAGGTTGAAAATCACTTCGGAGTCGAAATCAGGACATCCAATTCACTAGATTTTTATATTTATTCTCCTTGAAAATTTCCAGTTCTGAAAAATGAAATTTTGCCCCACGACTTTTTATGGAAGGACCCCCGTTTCTTACGTGATTGACTTCATCTTTGGACCCTCCCTACCTCCTGCAAATTTCAGAACCCTACCTCAATAATTACATAAGATACGGGGGTGCTTACATGAAAAGTGAGACAAAATTTGATTTTTCAGAACTGAAAATTTTTTGGGAAAAAATATGACTAGTTAGTGAATTGGACGTCGTGATTTCGAATACGTAGTGATTTTCAACCAATCTTGCCTCCTGATATCATTTTACGAAAATGTGTGTGGTTCCATGGCTGTTGGCGAGCCGTGTATATCACTGAAGATGACTTCACTTGGTTATACTAGTGTATATTATCAGTATATCTCCCGCTCCTGGAAATTTTAGAATCTTTACTCAACAATTACGAAAGAAACAGGGGTGTTTCCATTCGAAGTGAGACACACTGTATATCTTTTGATTCGTTCTCTCTAGAAAATAAACTGACTGACTGATTAACTGACTAACTAACTGACTGACTAACTAGCTGACTGACTGATTAACTGATTAACTAACTGACTGACTGACTGACTTACTAGATAGCTGACTGATTGATTTATTGACCTATATAGATGTCTATACCTCTTAATTCATTTTTTCTGGAACACACACTGACTGATTAACTGACTAACTAACTGACGGACTGATTAACTGACTGACTGACTAGCTGATTGATTTATTGATCGATAGATCTATGTATCTTGTAATTCGTTCTCTCTAGAAAAATTAACTAAGTGATTAACTGACTGATCAACCAATTTAATAAATATGACTGACTAACTAGTTAACTGATTAACTGAATGATTGGCTGACTGATTAGCTGACTGACAGATAGACTGATCGATATTTCTTTACATTTCATTGACGTTCGCTTCTCCTAGGTATCCCTGTCTAAACCCTAAAGCCGAGTACAACGAAGAGAAAGTGTACAGCGGCACGGTGGCGTGCGCTCGCTTCCTCTTCAACGACCGAAACGTCGTCTCCGTGGGAGGCACCGACGCCTCCCTCATGCTGTGGCAGCTGGTCGAGGAATAGCAGCAGCCCCCACGCGTCTATCTGCCCCTGATGGTGGCCCCCAGGTGGGGGAACAGCGGTAACAGCGCCACGAGGGATTTCGACGATTCGGAGTTCACCTCGGATTCCGATTGCGCGTCGTTCGAGGTTTTGAATTTACGTTGCTGAAGGATTTTGTACAGGGTGTCTTCTCATATCGAAGACGTGAACCTTGGACACGATGATACACTACACACTGTTTTACTACTAATCAAACCGATTTTTTACACCTCGACACGTGTTTAGCTAACTATATGTTAGCATCTTCAGGAGAAGATTTGAACCTAATCGGCTTGGTTAGTGGTAAAACAGTGTGTAGAGTGTCTTCTAATGGCGCGTTCACATGCCAGCTTATGCATATAGCAGAAAGTTTGAATAAAACTCCTTTACTTTTCGACATTTGAGAATGTTAACACAAAGAAAATTGTCATCCGCATGCTCAGTAATTGACATCTTTGATACATTTTTTAACGCACTGATCGGACCACTCAGATTTTGAGCTTCGTTTTGACATAGTCCAAAGATTCAAGTAGTACACCTATGCCAGTACGGGAGCACTTTTCGTCGACTTACTATCAAAACCTGTAAGTCCAAATTCTAGGGAATTTTAGGTTTGAACATTTTCACCATCTACGAAATTCAGCGCACCCATCACCTAATCATCGTAAGTCTATGTTTTTGGTAGCGAAATCTATTAGATATAATTCAAACCTCCTAACTCTACTCTGAGAGATTTTGAATTCAAAAACTGGTAAGTTTGATCCGTTATTTGAACTGAAATCCATGTCAGACACCAAAGTAAGTTTATGTTGAACTATTTGGTCAATCTTCTCGAATATTTCTGCAGTGATGCGAAGAACAATCTTGTTTTGATTCTTCATGTGAACAGACGAGGTTCTGATCTGTATGTTATCTATCTAGTAGAAGACTTAATACATTGATTGAAATATTTCGGTTCATAAAACTGCCGCTGATTTGCTACATGCACTGTGAAGCAAGGCCTAACTAATTGACAATATTTTCACTTGTAATTGATCAAATCCAAATCAGTCTGAATAATGTTCAATTTATTTTTGTAAATACTTCGTATGTCGGTTATTTGAACATTAAGAATACAAATCTTCTCAGAATGTTGATTTCATTCACCAAGCAGGTACCTTTACAAAGGAGGAATAGCCTTCAAAAAATGTAATTGAATCGTTCGAAGTAACTAGTGGAAAACGTTTTTTTCCCTCCTGAACAATTAGCTCTGAAAGACTTACGAGGTTTTGACAGTGAGTCGGCGTTTTGCTCTCATCTCCCCTATGCCTAATGGAACCCAGATACCACCGATCTACTTGAGAAATGACGGCTAACTATTGAAATATAAGACACTTAAAAAGAGTGCTTTAGCAGAATTTCATAAATTACGGTAAAAACGCACTTTCGCATTTATAGTTTGTAGTTCGCGGTCAGATACTTGGAAAATGCTAGAAAAAACTCATCCTCCTCAATATGGATTTTCAAGCTCATATGCGTTGGTGGCTGAGCGCTCCCATCAATGGTGCATTGAAATTTGTTGCCGCTGTAGCACTTCTAACAATTTGCTATACAGTGGTCAGTATGGATTAGATCTATGCAAAGTTTTTGATACTGTCAACCATAACATTTTATAAAATAAATTATTTGCAATTGGTGTCAGAGGAAGAATTCATGATTGGTTCAAAAATTATCTATCAAATAGAAAACAATATGGGTGAGTGGTACTTGTAGCTCCTTAATGAACATCTCATGCGGTGTACCGCTAGGGTCAGTCTTGGGACCAGTTTTATTTTTGATCTACACAAATTCAATATCAAACTTGGAATTGGGAGAAAAACTTGAATTATTTGCAGATGACACGACATTGATTTATTTCTCTTGAGATTCAAATAATATTATCATGGACATGAAAAGTGATTTAGAGAAAATATCCTCTTGGTTACAAGTTCATAAACTATCTCTCAATTATAACAAATCCTCATATATATACATAGCAAAAAGAATACTGAACATTTCAAATAGAACACTATCCTTCAACAATAAACTCATCAAATATACAGATGTTACAAAATTTTTAGGTATTTATATTGATGAATGTCTATTGTGGAATAAACATATATAGATCATTTGAGAAACAAACTTAATCCCATTACAGGCATTTTATTCAAAATACGAAATTTCATTTTTACTAGATACTTGAAGAGTATTTATTTCTTTCCTATTTACTCAAAATTTCAATACCTAATATCTGTATGGTAGTGCGGTAAAATAACACTTTACAGCACTAGTGCGGTAAAGTATCTCATTACGATACTAAAATCAGTGTCGTAATATTCCACATTACATATTGGTAGTAGGTGGAGAAGCATACCATAGCATAAAAATGTAACATGTGCGAAAAATGAGAGTGGATCTAAACCGGCATAGATGCACTACTAAGACTGGTGAAAATGAAAAGTGCATCTGGTAGAATTTTCTGTTTTTCTGAGATTAATTTTTGTCAAAAATTTGCTAAGAATTATTCGGTTGCCCAGTTCAAATAATTGTTTTCTGTGAGTACGACTTTGAGGAACCTTTGATATACCATCATCAAGTATTTCAAGAATCTGTATTAAGATTTAATTTTCTCCTACTAATAAAAACTGAGACACCCAATCAATACTATGAAGTTAGGTACGTAATTTTAGCCAATATCAGAACAAAAAATTTGGAGACCACTTGAGAAGTGACAAAATACCTCAATTGAAGAATACTTTATTGAAATATTATGAATAGTTCTGATGTAACTCTAGATATATCCCAGCGAGCACAAAAACATCTCAGAGATGTTAAAAGTACGAGATTTCGAGACATTGAACGTGCACTGCGATGTTCTGTTCACACATGAATAGAACTATTATAGAACAGCCAATGTTCGCCGCAGGCGACAATTATCGAGATGTCCTTGATATGTCACAAAACTACCTTTTCCCTAGTTCTTTTTAAAGCCTTTTCATGGACACAAGAGAACATTTTGAACGCGTCTTGCGCACATTAAATCGCTGTAAAAAAACCATTTTCGAGGTATTTATCTGAAGCCTTTTGTCAAAATGAACTGTTGCATTAGGATTCCATTACCCTTGAATGAAAAAATGCATTAAAAATAGATTGAACATAAAAATATTTTCTTGATATGAAATTACCTTCTTAATCGGTTTTTGACTACACACAGACATATAATTGGAAATAGGTTTCCCAATTTTTGAAATGTTCTCCACAATGCATAATTTTGCAACTGCGGAGAAGCTGTGTGTTGATGAATTCGTACTTTTATACATTGATTACACTGAGGCACTGAGGCACCGAACAACACATCTTGCATCTGATGGTCATTCTAACACAATAAACTTCACCAAATTCCTTTCTGTTCGTTAGCAGCGTGATGTAAGCGTGACACGCTACAAACGCGAATGCCAATTGCGAACAAGAAGAACAAAATCGAAAACAAATCAGAATTCATCGTATTGTGACGTAAGCATGAGACTTTGTGGTGGGGCAAACAAAGAAAGGGCACAAAAGAACAAAAACAATACTTTCAATATCCTTCTAAGACCTCTTTGGGAAGTGCATATTACGCCTCATAAAAAAATCCTCATGCCTACATTTCTAAAACATCCCAAAACATCCCAGGGATACCTCTCAGTAGGCAAACAAAGAAATGCCACAGAAGAACAAAAACAATACTTCAATATCCTTCAAAGACCTCTTTGGTCAGTGCATATTACGTCTCAAAATAACATCTTCATGCCAACATTTTCAAAACATCCCAAAACATCCCAGGGATGTTTGTGCTCGCGGGGATCACTCAAACAAGTCAAATAACATATCTTTAGTGGAAATAATAGTGATCAAGGGTACCCATGAACATATTTTGATTAAAATCAGTTTTACAAAACACGGAATTCCATGGAATATACTCTGTTTTCAATTAGGTTTTTGAAAAAAAAAATCAAAGGTTGTATATTAGAGAAGAGTTTGAAACATGTTTAAATTTTTCTTAACTAAATTGAGTTTCCAGGAATTTCAATATATACCCACTTGTAGACATGTATAAAGATAGTTTTATTTGATAGGGTGCCCTTAGATCTAAATAGGCCCTAAAAAGCCCTTCAAAACTGCCAATAGTGTTAGGATTCATAACCATATCTATTTGAAATAATTTTAATACTAAATAGATGAAATGCTTGGATACATATGATAGTAGGCTTGTAATTGATACATTTTTAATATTAATATGAATATTTTATTGTTAATAATACTCAATGCAATAATATTTTCATTGTTATAAAATTCTGTTTTTTGAAACTAGAGAAGATCTAGTATTTTAAAATATTTTGAAAAATAAATGATAATCTGTTAGTCCAAGTAGTTTGATTTCATAACATCAATAAATATCCTAGTGCGTGAAATTCATTCATATCATATATCTAGATTATACAGGGTGTCCCTAAAAGGTGCGGAAAAAAAGCTACAACAAGTTCCTGAGGCGTGAATATGACGATCTAACTCAACTTACCTCAGTCCAAAAGTGGATTATTTCAGAGATACAGAGTGTCAAAAGTTCAATTTGATTTTCATTTTCTATAAATATTTTTTTTAATAATTGGTGTATTGTCATAATATTTGGCTTGGGGGGGTTTTGCTGGTTGAGAAATCAGAATTTGCTATCATTTTTATTGTAAAGTTAAGAGGGCGCCACCTGCGGAACCTTGCACACATTTAAAACGAAATAACTTTTTTGAGCCACCCCATATTTAATTTTTTAATGCAAATTCGGATTGTCCGACGTCTTTCACATAAAAAATGTATACTTGGTAAGAGTTGATTTGAGCAGCTGTTTTTGAGATATCTGGATTTTAAAAATTCACTTCGTAAATGGCCAGGTCTAAATTATTGTAATAATAAAATTGAACACATTTGAAGAGTAGGCGGTGAATTAAAATAACGTCACTAAAAACTGACTTGACACAAATCGAATCTAAAAAACAAGTCAAGACAATTGTCCCCTGATTCGACACCGATGGATTATTTTTTATGGGGAGCTTTGAAACCCCTGGTGTATTCTAGGCCAGTAAATACAAAAGATGATTTGAGGAGACGTATTGAAACTGAAATTGACGCTTTAAGAAATGATGACGAAATGCTCCAAAGTGTTCAATTTAACTTTTTGAAAAGTATTAATCTTTGTACACACGAAAATGGAGGTCATTTTGAACATTTTTTGTTGAAATCATTTTTTTTAATTAAATCAAATTAAACTTTTGTTGTTGATAAATCTCCTATTCCTATTCCTGATGACTATTTTCACTAGAGAATAAAATTACCAACACATTTATGTACCTACTTCTTTTTTTTTTCTTCTAGTTTCTAGTGACGTTATCTTAACTTACCACCTACGCTTCGAATGTGTTCAATTTTATTATTTCAATAATTTAGACCTGGCCATTTACGAAGTGAATTTTTAAAATCCAGATATCTCAAAAACAGCTGCTCAAATCAACTCTTACCAAGTATACATTTTTTATGTAAAAGACGTTGGACAATCCGAATTTTCATTTAAAAATTGAATATGGGGTGGCACAAAAAAGTTATTTCGTTTTAGTGTGTGCAAGGTTCCGCAGGTGGCGCCCTCTTAACTTCACAATAAAAATTATAGCAAATTCTTATTTCTCAACCAGCAAAACCCCTCCAAGTCGAATATTGTTACAATACACTAATTATTGAAAAAAATATTTATAAAAAATGAAAATCAAATTGAACTTTTGACACTCTGTATCTCTGAAATCATGCACTTTTGGACTGAGGTAAGTTGAATTAGATCGTCATATTTACGCCTCAGGAACTTGTGGTAGCTTTTTTTCCGCACCTTTTAGGGTCACCCTGTATATTGTCTGAGTGCAATTTTCCAATCGATTCTATAGCCTCAACTGTGCCAAACAGGGTTCTATAGGAATGCCCTGGCTGGCCCTGGTTTTGAGCAGAAGCACAGAGCCATGGACGTATAATACGTCCATGCACAGAGCTCTGTATTCTGAATGATTTTTTCAACCAAATTATGTATGCGCTCCACTGCAAAATCGACTTGAAGCCATTTTGAACAACATTTTCGTTTGAAAAAAAAAAAGATTATATCTGGAGAACTAATGAAGCTATGGAAAAATCGACTTTATTTTCATGTTCAGCACGTCAACAACATTCTGTATACAAGTTTTCAGCTCATTCTGACGCCTTAAAATATGTGAAAAAAGTTCAAAGGGGTTAACCTTGTTTCTTTTTCTAACCCAAAAATCAACTTTGTCGTAGGGCCTTCAATTTCGGTATTCAGGACCCTTTAGAGATGCCCTAGTGCAGAGTAGAAGCACAGCCCTCTAGCACTTGATTAAAAAAAAAAACTATTTTTGACCCCATTTCGGGCTGAATTTTTTATTCACACTACCCTCTCAAATGAATGCGAAATCGAGTTGATGGAAATGTAGACGAATTCGAGTATGTTGAGACAATTTCTGCCATTTTGAACATTTCTGTTCTTCAAAATATTCTTGTATCTGAAAAACTAATGAAGTTATGGAAAAATGTACTTCATTTCAGTGTTCAGCACGTCGAGAACATTCTGTATACAAGTTTTCAGCTCATTCTGAGACCTTGAAATATGTGAAAAAAGTTCAAAGGGGTTAACCTTGTTTCTTTTTCAGACCCAAAAATCAACTTTGTCGTAGGGCCTTCAAATTCGGTATGCAGGACCCTTTGGGGATGCCCTAATGCGGAGTAGAAGCACAGCCCTCTAGTCCTTAATTAAAAAAAATATCAATTTTTGGCGTCTTTTGGACTGAATTTTTTATGCACTCTACATCTCTGAATTGAATGCAAAATCGGGTAGATGGAAATGTTTTGCAGACGAATTCGAGTGTATTGAGACGATTTCCGTCATTTTGAACGTTTTTGATTTTTTCAAAATATGCTTGTATCTGGAAAACTAATGAAGTAATGTAAAAATCGACTTCATTTTCGTGTTCAGCACGTCGAGAACATCCTGTATACACGTTTTTTGCTCATTCTGAGGCCTTGAAATATCTGAAAAAAGTTCAAAGGGGTTAACCTTGTTTCTTTTTCAGACCCAAAAATCAACTTTGTCGTAGGGCCTTCAAATTCGGTATTCAGGACCCTTTAGGGATGTCCTAGTGCGGAGTAGAAGCACAGCCCTCTAGCCCTTGATGAAATTAAAAACGATTTTTGACCCCCATTCGGGCTGAAATTTTTATGCACTCTACATCTCTAAAGTGAATGCAAAATGGAGTTGATGGAAGAGTTTAGAAGAAGAATTCGAGTGTGTTGAGACGATTCCTGCGACTTTGAACGATATTTTCGTTTTTCAAAAAATGTTCATATCTGGAAAACTTTTAAAGTTATGAAAAAATCAACTTCATTTTAGTGTTCAGCACGTCGAGAACATTCTATATACAAGTTTTCAGCTCATTCTGAGGCCTTGAATTATGTGAAAAATGTTCAAAGGGGTTAACCTTATTTCTTTTTCAGACCCAAAAATCAACTTTGTCGTAGGGCCTTCAAATTCGGTATTTAGGACCCTTCAGGGATGCCCTAATGCGGAGTAGAAGCACAGCCCTCTAGTCCTTAATTTAAAAAAATATCGACTTTTGGCGTCTTTTGGGCTGAATTTTTTATGCACTCTACATCTCTGAATTGAATGCAAAATCGAGTAGATGGAAATGTTTTGCAGACGAATTCGAGTGTGTTGAGACGATTTTTGCCATTTTGAACATTTTTGTTTTTTCAAAATATGCTCGTATCTGGAAAACTAATAAAGTTATGGAAAAATCGACTTCATTTTCGTGTTCAGCACGTCGAGAACATCCTGTATACGAGTTTTTAGCTCATTCTGAGGCGTTGAAATATCTGAAAAAAGTTCAAAGGGGTTAACCTTGTTTCTTTTTCAGGCCCAAAAATCAACTTTGTCGTAGGGCCTTCAAATTCGGTATTCAGGACCCTTCAGGGATGCCCTAATGCGGAGTAGAAGCACAGCCCTCTAGCCCTTGATAAAAAAAAACACGACTCTTGAACCCCTTTCGGGCTGAATTTTTTATACACTCTACAACTTTAAAGTGAATGCAAAATTGAGTTGATGGAAGTGTTTAGAAGAAGAATTCAAGTGTGTTGGGACGATTCCTGCGACTTTGAACGATATTTTCGTTTTTCAAAAAATGGTCATATCTGGAAAACTAATGAAGTTATGAAAAAATCAACTTCATTTTAGTGTTCAGCACGTCGAGAACATTCTGTATACAAGTTTTTAGCTCATTCTGAGGCCTTGAAATATCTGAAAAAAGTTCAAAGGGGTTAACCTTGTTTCTTTTTCAGAATCAAAAATCAACTTTGTCGTAGGGCCTTCAAATTCGGTATTCAAGACCTTTTTGGGATGCCCTAGTGCGGAGTAGAAGCACAGTCCTCTAGCCCTCGATTAAATAAAAAACGATTTTCGACCCCCTTTTGGACCGAATTTTTTATGCACTCCAACATCTCTGAAGTGAATGCAAAATCGAGGTGATGGAAGTGTTTTGCAGACGAATTCGAGTGTTTTGAGGCAATATTTGCGATTTTGAATCAAATTTTCGTTTTCCTAAAAATTCCTATATCAGCATGTTGAAAACATCCTATGTTCAAGTTTTCGGCTCATTCTGAGATCTGTCAAAAATCTCGAAGAAAACGTTCAGACCAAAAATCAAATTTGTCTTAGTGCCTTCAAATTCGGTATACGGGGTCCTATAGGAACTTCCTTGTGTGTTTTAGAAGCACATATATGGTCTTTTATCTATCAAGTTTTCAGTTGAAGATATGAATTTGAGTGAACAAAAAAACAAAGTAGGTACCTCTTTCTTCTTCAAACACTTATATTTGAATTAGGTAAAACTGGAAGAAGGTAGAGATGAAATAAGAAAAAACTTCCTATGAAACCTATTTTATTCACAAAAGTTTACATCATCCAAGTGCAACAAGCAAAAAAAAATCTACTCAATAAAATGTTTTGACTGTATTAAAAGACCAGAAATCGTTCAAAAGACTCCACTACTTTCAAGCATTTACATATTTACAAATCTATGAACTAATCGATTCAATAAAAAATAGCATATCGACAATTATTTACAAGAAAAAAAAATCCTCCAGCAATTCTACTTAAACCTAAGTATTGTCTCCCGCTTCGGGAGCACTATCCCGTTCAACAACTTCACTCATCTCACTGTCCCCCTCCACGTGACCTTCCCCACTCCTAAACTCCTCTCCCTCCCCCTCCTCACTAGCCGTAGTCCTCTCACTGATCGTAGGCCTCCTCCGGGGCTTCGACACGTCATCGATCTTATCGATGACGTCAGCGTTATCGTCCGACACGGCACAAAAACTGTCGTCGATAATGTTCGTGTACACGTGACTGACGCTGTTCTGAAAGGAGAAAAAAAGCATTGAAGTCATGTTATGACAAAATTCCCATTATAAAAGTCTCACCGTTTTCGAGATATTTTTTTGTTGTTGTTGAAAACATTGAATTTTTGCCCCTTCAATAGTTTTGTCTGTACGGTTGGTACAATTTTACACCTTTTTGGTTCATTTTTTCAGTAAATATTGCTGAAGAATGATTTTAACATTAAAAACATTCTCCGAATATTTTAAAGGGGGGGCTGTGAGAATAGCTATTTATATATCAAGGGAGCAAAGGTATCCATTTCCTCCCGCGTGTATTGAACACACATGGGAGGAAATCAACATTATAGGGATTCCCTTTCGTGCGCTCCAAGCGATAAAAAAAATTGTGCTTCAAGCGGTCTATCTCTCAAGTCTCGATCCAAATCAATGTGTTATCTAAGGTTTTACATGATCTAAGGTTACAGAACGAGAATTGATTTGACATTGACACTTCTGTCACATTGAATTAGTTTATTGCATATATCTACTCATATATGAATCATAGCTGTCCTCAAAGCGGGACCAACTTCTGTCTTTATACTCTTCATAGGTAACGAAATCGACCAATAGGCGTTGATGCCGACGTAGGGAAAAAATAATACGAAACTTTTCAAACCAATATGGCTGATTCTAGAGTCCCTGTATATAACTTAGACTAGAGTCCGGACACAAAATTGACAGCCGTTGGGGTTTTAAATATTTTGTTTCATTTGGTTTGCTCACCTGACAATGTGGCGAAACACCATAGTCGTCTTGCCCGCTTTTTTAAATTATTTCGAATTTCTGTCACTGTCACTTTGGAATTTGATGACCGCCAAAATTTAGCATTTTGAATTATTTCAATGTCCTGCTGCGTACATTATTGCGATAATTCATTAGAAAAGGAATTAAATTTTCCGAATATTCCTTTACATATAATGTCATAGAAGAATGCGATGAAACGTCCAGAATGGTTTGATTGCTTATGGTCAATAGTTGGGAAAGAGGGGTGTGAATTTCATCATCAGCAAATGCAAATTAAAAAAATGCAGTAAACTATTTATTCAACTGTACTTAACTACTAAAAAAACAGTCCCAACAAGAAAATACTGACTTGACGAATAATAAGGCACATCTCTCTTTCACAACTATTGACCATGAGCAATCAAACCACCAATGGGAAATAAAATTATACATATTGTAGGGTGCACTATTTGAAAAATTGATGTGAAGAAAGTTTGAATTTCGTGAAAATCATATAATATTTCTGACCACCCTGTATAACTTTCGAAGAAGATGAGTATTTCATATGATAAAATATGCTACCTACTACCAACAGTCTTGAATGATTCGATGAATTCTTAGTAGTATGAATGATGGGTTTGTCTAAAAAAATGTCTGCATTTCATGAAACACTAGTATAACTTGGCAACGCCTTGTCGGATTTTCAAAAATAAAAAACTGATAATTAGCCTAGAGGGATGAGAATTCAGATATGTTGAAATATATGGGGTGTTCCATTTGAAAAAATTGATGTTCGATTTTGTGAGCCTTTCTTGCGCCCCTCGTATAAAAATTTAGTAATTCCTGAAGTTAGCACTCATGATGCAATATGATGTGGAATTATAATATTTTGAAAATTCCTATTGGTTCAGGAGATATTCAACTGTCCCACTGGTCTAGGGACACAATGTATATAATGTTGTTCTGATTTCGTCCCTTTTATTTCTGCTGAGTGTTATTAAATTGAGAGAATCGGAGCTAATTATATTGAAACAATTATATATCTTTTATTTTTTCACATCCCAACAGAAAACAACCATATTTTCTTGACTATATGTGATACCACGTGGAACACAATAATCTTTCTTGTATCTAATGAAGTGAAGGAATATCTGATGACGAAAATTTGCAAAGGCCATCTCAAGAATTAATAATGAAAATTATCGATTCGAAATTTGAACACCCGGTTGTTCATTATTTGAAACTCTAATAGTTATTCTAGTTAAAATAGCATTATTTCTCACTTCTACCTACGGCTATGAACGGTTTGACAAATAATCTAACCCTCAAAATTGTTTCTGACAATCATTGATACTAGGGGAATTGAAAAGACAGAGCTCGAAATATATGCCTTATTCCTTTATTCAATCATCAATGCATTTTATGAAAACAGAAAAAGACAGAAGTATAGCTGTGTCCGGACTCTTGTCTAAGGTATATACAGGGACTCTAGCTGATTCCATCCTTCACTTTCCGTCATTATAGATTCAAAAAGTACCTCTAATTTTGGTCCCATTTTTGTTGAAATTATCGTATAGGCGATGAGCCAAATATAGAAATAGTACATATATATGGTTTATTGTGATGTATTTATTGCATTTTATTTAAAGTTTCGTATGAGATCATGAGAAAATGAAATTATTTGTTTCATAGTAGTGATGAACACACTGAGGTACTTGGGTAGCACAAATCTAATGTGTATATCTCTACCAAAAAATGCATACTGAAGCCAATTTATTTTACCTCCCACGGGAGGTAATATTTTTTTCTTCCCGTGGGAGTAAATTGACAGGTTTGTGTCCTCAAATGAGGGAGCCAACGCCAACTTTCTATGCAGTGAGTAGATAAATATTTTTATTGAAAACTTTGGTAGTGGATATTTTCAAAAAAAAAGAAAACAAACTCGATAACGGTAAGACCTTCATAATGGGAATTTTGTCATAATGCAGGTGGGTTATCATCTGATCTACATTCTCCCTAGGTTTGACGTGGTCTTGACCACCCTGTATACTGGATACTTCAGAATAACTAACGTACTTCAATTTTCTGTATTTAAGCCCGTCAGAAAAATCGGTACGATCTTGATCGTTTTCAATTCCTTTTCTCTACATTTCTAATTTTGACACCCACAATCCCAATGAAAAGAAATTTGTACACCCCTGAAAACATTTTTTTTGTGTTTTATTATATTTTTCAGGTGTTTAGGAAGAAATTTACAAATGAAATTTTTTATTCTTAAATTAATACAGGCACACCTCTGAATTTGGAAATTTGATCTTTGGGCCAGTACAATAATGTTTTAGTGAACTGATTTTTTTCAATTTCTTATTCTCATCTCCACACAATAGTAGATTGTATTATTAGGATCAGCGACACTTTGTTTGCATTTGCGAGGCGGATCGTTTAGCTGAGCCGAGCGAAAGCAATATTTGCGAGTCAAACAAAGTAGAGCATCGTCCATGAAAATATCTATAAAATAGAGCAATATCGCCAACTTTTTTACGGTGTTCCAGAGAAGTGAAGTGAGTTTGTGAGTGAGGCATCACCCACGAGACGAATTGCTCTTTTCTGGACAGAATCCAACAGTTTCAGGGTATGTTTTGGTGCTGCACTCCAAATATGGAAACAGTATTCCAGGACAGATCGGATCTGTGCCTTATAGATCATAAGCAGCTGACTGGAAGTTAAATAGCTCCTGGCCCGAAACAGAAAACCAAGTTTTTGGGATGCACTTATAGCAATTGATCTCACGTCATTTTCCTAAGAAAGGTTATTGCTGATAGTAATACCAAGCATCAAAATGGATGTCTTCAAAGGTATGGTTATTCCTGACATGCTTATGTTTGGCACAGTGAGATCGGCTTTTCTAGAGAAAAGGCATGCTTGTGTTTTGTTTGCATTGAAATCTACCAAGTTATTGGATTCCCATTCGAGAATTGTTGCCTGGCTGGTGTTGGAGCCCTGGAAGAGAAGGTGGTATGGAGGGTACTTTCATCCGCGAAGCTGTGTACTGGACATGAAGTTGCTTCCAAGAAATCGTTGATATGGAGTAGAAATAGTGTTGGTGCTAGAATTGATCCTTGTTGAACACCAGCATTTATGATAAGAGAGTCCGATGAAACTCCGTCGACCACTGCATGGAGAGACCTGTTTGAGGGAAAACTAGCTAGCAGAGAACATAGCTGGGGAGGCAAGCCATAAGATGGAAGCTTGGCGAGGAGTCCGTGGTGCCAGACTCGATCGAATACTTTGGAGATATCAAGTGCCACGGCTAAGGTTTCACCATATTTTTCAATAGATTGCTGAGACGTATACCACGACACTTTCTCATCGTAAACTCCTCTTACCTGAGATTCGTACTTCTCCGTCTTGCACGCCGACGAATCCAGCGACGAGACGACGCTGGGCGTCGCCTCGCTCGGCGTCGCTTCGACTCGCTCGCTCGGGAACATGGTGCTCTTGGTGAACACCTGCACGGGCCGGCGGAAGCCCTTCGCCTGGTGCGCGGGATAGCCGAGGATCTCGCCCTTCGCGAAGCCCACGGCCGGCGACAGCAGGTACTCGCGGAACTTGTCGGGGAAGAACTCGATCGACGAGTAGTTCTTGTAGATTGTGTCCTGGCGGGGTTGACAAAAATAATTGATGAATATTCTATGTGTCCCAGATCTACAGGATGATGAAGTTTTGATGACTAATAATCCTCCAAAACATTGATCTAGACTCATGTCTGAGAGATCTAGGATGAACAGAGTTGCTTTGATAGTCAGCAGGAGCGAAACAGTACCATTTCGGCCAACTAGGCCTCATCAGCCGCTCTCGGTCTCTGACAACTTGAGCAACTCTACGCTATGGGTATATCACCCATCTCGAACACTGTGTAGAGGTCAGTGCAACCTGTCAGCAGAGTTATTTACTTGTAATAACACTTTGTAATGTGGAACATCATAGGAATGCCCTTTCGTGTCCCGTCGATTTCATAGGGACAGTATTGCTATTCCCTGAACGGTGAGAGGTAGAAAGTTGATCAAATTAGACAAAAGTTGCTTAATTTGAACCGATCATTATTATTTTATGTTTCATTCTACAGATTTCTGACAGTACAATATGACAATACCATCATTTCTACGGAATATTGGTACACTTGTTTTCGAGAAAAACGCGAAGTCTCGGAAGGGATTTCAAATATTATTTCATTTATGAAGAGCGTGCTTTGGACTGTCAGATAATTGTTGCTGGTGAATTAAGTTTCTTGTTAATGATTGAATTTTGGTGCGAGTTTATAGTCAATACTTTTTCGATTGAAATGCCCTGTAGCCCTGTATCTTTTTCCACAGTAATATTTTATTAAGGCATATTTGGTCTTATCGCTATATTTTGGTGCAAACAATCCGCCCTCAGCCTATGTCCCAATAGGTATGACTCACCCTGTATATGTTCTTTATACAATTGAATAGAAATAAAAATTGCCTCAACAGCCATATTCAACATATATTTTATTATATTCATTGTGAGAAATGTCATTTGTCGTTTTTGTTGTTCTTATTAATTGTCCGGACTGATATGTGGTCAGTTTTCGGCGTTTCAGTAACATATTTGATATTATAAATCTGAAACAGACTATTTTGTGAATAAATATGGTTCGGCAGTGTCAAATCTGTAAAGAAAGCTCAGTTACGAACCCGATAATTCACAGGTATGTACGCAGGCATTTATTCAGCGGCGGTCTTGTTTGATGGCTTGCTGTTGTTGATGAAAAATCAATCAATCAACTTTATTATTCCCAAGAAACAACATTTGTTTATAGCAGGGAACATAGTGAATACATAAATATATTTGACAAAATAAAATAAAGAAGTCAGTAAACTAAGACTCACACTCAAAAAGAATCTTTTTTTTCAAGTTCAAATGAAAATATCAAATAACCTCACAAAGACGTTACAAAATGACTAATTATTATGTAACAATATGTGAGAATTGATGTATTAATGCACATACTCACATTTATTGAAATCCAGATTCATCAGAAAGGTATATAAAATATATTCATGAAGATTATCAAATGAACCAGGTTATGAATTCGAACTGCACAATAAAATAACCCAAGATTTACATAAATCTGAATAAATTGACTATGTTTATTTCCTCGCACTCACTCTCAACTTCTTGATGCTCTTGTAGCTGGCCCAGTTCTGCGGCAATGATTCCGCAGTTATCCCCACAATTCACGTTTTCATTCATTCATCCGTGTTTGGCGCTAGGATTGTTGGCGTATATTTTTTAATGATTGATGAATGAATCGCGATGTCTATCTATTATTATTTAGTCTGAGCACTCACCCACCCGCAAATGTTCATTCCTGCATCCGTGTTTGGCGTTTAAGATGGTTTGATGCAGAATCTAGTGAGCTGTACCTACTGGTCTACCCTATAGCCCCGTTGAGTGTATGACCACCAGGAGGTGTTACTGTATCGGACGAAATGATCTTCACTTTTTTCAAAAAATTTCTCGAAATTTGTGGTTATGTTAGTTGTCCTTCTATTATAGCCATATTATTTTTGATCAAAAATGTCATTTCCACAATTTTGATTCACAGCTGAGCACATCGAATAAACTGCACAAACGTATTTCGTTAATCTCTCATCAAGTGCTGTAAGGGCCAGTATGCCATTAAGGGGGTTGGCAAGGGGGCTCAGTCTCAACATACCTCCATATCTGCATGAACTATTTTTGAATTTTTGAGTGACTGAGTGACCGTGTCCCGTATCATGACTGAACTCAAACTCGCTGAACAAACTACGCCGCCGGCCGAGACTGCCGACAGCACCGCTGAGGGAGCTGCTCAACTCATTTACGATTTTCAAAGTTATGTAGGTTTGACAGGAAAACGATTGAGATAAGTGTTTCCTCGAGTTGACCATATGGCGGCACTACTGTATCGGCCACAGAAACATGTAGTTGATTTCCCTTGTTTGAGCAGACCAGATACTCCAGCTTTTTTTTTTTTTTTTTTTATCGCTTGGAGCGCACGAAAGGGAATCCCTATAATGTTCAAAGAACATCGTGCGTTCCTTGGGAGGATAGGGACAGGAGGTAGGTATTGGAATTTTTAGCAGACAATGGTTTCATGTATACATATTTTTTAATTTATGAATTAGTCTTAGTGTCTTTCTATTGTTATTCAGCCTAAAAACACACCCGCAAATGTACAAGTGCCTGTTATTATCCCCACCATTCGCGATTGCAATCGTTTATTCGTGTTTGGCGTTTAGGATGGTTGGCGTATACTTTTTGATGATTTATGAATGAATCACTCACCGTCAACTTCTTCTTGCTCTTGTAACCAGCCCAGTTCTGCGGCTCGAGCACCAGCTTGCCGCCGGGGCGCAGCTGGGCGTACATCCGGCGGAAGGCCTGCCTCATGCCGGCGTCGCCCCAGTTCAGGTGGATCCACTTCGTGATGCTCAGACAGAGGATGACGTCGAATTGGGGCTGCTCGAGGGCGATCAGGTTGTCGTCTTCGAGAATGTAGTTGCACTGGAAAGAGAACGACGGAGGATGTTACAGGTTGCTGCCTCTGGTTGTCAAATGATTTGATGTGACGTCAAATTGCGTATATCCTTCATCTAATGAAAATTATGAGGTTGAACATGTAGGGAAATTGAAAAAGAAGATGAAGCCATAGTTAGTGGTCCTTAATATACTTGACACATTTGTTTTTTTTTGTATATTTACAGTAAGGATACTCTGACAAGCACTGACATTACATCAATTTCAAAGGTTCGGGAAACTAAGAACAAATTGGGAAAATAATTAGATGCAAGTTTATTCTTTTTCCAACTGCAAATGCTGTGATTCGATTCACTTCATTGAACTTTCCATCAAATAGAACACTCTCAAAAAGGCAACAAAATTTGCAAGGTATCGAATTTATTTGGTAGAATATTGAATGTTATTTTTCGCATTTTTATTAGATGCAGTTCAGACCAGATGATTTGAAAATAAGCAACAAAATTGTATTGAGAGAAAGAGCAACAATTTATAAACAGGATGAATATCGAGAAGAACCAACCGATAAAACAAAAATTTGAAGCAGAAAAATTCATTGACCTTGACATTCAGAAATTTTGATTCATCGCCAATCAGGATTCATTTTTATCAGTTAATACTTTCAAATTACATTATTCCTCATAATTTTTTTTCAGAACTTCAAAAAGGAAATGGTACTTTTTCAGAAGTGACATTGAAGACAATATCTATAGACAAATGCTTGAAACCCTACGCCTCGTTTTTATTTTCAATTAAAATATTCTGAAGACTGTCTTCTTCAATACACCTAAATAACTATGTCTGTATAAAAATATATTAACGAGAAAAAAACTCAGTAGTCTACACAAGTTTACTGGCGAAATGTGCAGTTAATTCTGCTTCAATAATTTTCATTGAGACATATTTCGACCATTCAAATGGTCATTATCAGTCATAGTACTAATGAAGTTGATCTACAAAGAAAAATTGTTCTTCCTCAACATCTAGCTAAAATGGTTACACTAATGAGTGGAGAATGACAATGCAAAAACTGATAATGTGAAGTGAAAAATCGTAAAATTGATTGAGAATTTAATTATGTAAAACTATGATAGAATTGAAAGAATTATTCTTGAAAAACAAAATGGCGAACAAGTGTGATAATTTTTTTGGAAACCTTATTATAACAAGGACAGGTGTAGTGCATCAAGCATTTATTTGTAGATACTAATTCATACTTCAATGTTAATTTAAAAAAGGTACCAATGCCTACTCGAAATATTGAAGAAAATTCAAGAGAAACAGTGCCATGTGGAAGAATTACTAAAAGGAACCCTGATAGGCGATGGATCGAAATTTTAGCATGTTTCATTGAAAACTAATCAGTGGTTCGTTTATATGTTCGGAATAACCAGATCGCCAGGGATCTGAAACTCCTTTCAATCGTGTCAGTCATTAAAGAACGAAACATCAAAACTTTCGAAAAAGCTGAGGTTCATGAGAATCAGCTTCTTCGAAATGCAGTTGATTATGACCCAGATAATCAATCAAAGTTCAAAAGACCGAGATTGTCCATAAACTAGAGGAAATATCGACATTATGACCAAATTTACTATTCTCAAGTTTTTGATATTTATTTTTTCCGTTCGATCTCTTTCAATTCTTAGAATGAATGAAACTTATTTGGGGCAGAAGGGCTGTTCGCATCAAACTTCAATACCGTTTTTATTTTGTTCCATAATAGATATCAGGATAAGAGGGACTCTTCCCTGGTCTGAATAAAATAAAAGAAAGATCCAATATATATTTTGTAAGGTTGCTTGACGAAAATTCGATCAATGTGGTCTCACAGTTGCCAAATTGATTTTAGAAAAAATATGTCGCCATTTTGAAAACAACTGTCCACGTCTAATATGTCATTAGAAAGGGAATTCTTCACAATAACAAATGGCTTGAAAATATCTAGAAGGTTCCATTCAAAATTCTCTATAAGGAATTAAAACTTTCAAAACTTTCATCCAAATGTCAACAGCTAACATAGACTGCAACTGAAAAACGCCCTGGACAATAATGTCGTTGTAACACCCGGTGTACAACAACTGAAGAACGTGTTGTGATACATTTATCGTGACATTATAAAAAGATACTTACGTGTTTGAAAGTGACATTATTAGGGAACCCACTGCCCCTCTCGCTCACCCTATCGTGGTATCCTGGAACGTCAATGGCCCCATATAATATAGGCATACTTATAGGGAAAAACTCACTACTTTTTTTCGACCCCGTTTGCAAACCCTCCTCCCCCATAATAGGAGACCCTTCCGACGTCTTCACGTAGTGCCTGATATTCTTTCGCGCGATCGCAATCAGTTTCGGATCGATGTCGATGCCGAGCACCGTTTTGGCGCGAAAATCTCTCGCTACCGAGTGAGTTATGTGGCCGATGTTGCAGCCGATGTCGAGCACGTCTTTGTTGTCGAACAGATAGGGGTGGTGGGAGAAGACGCGCAACCGGTGGTCGATTTCGTTGTTGGGGTTGCGGTACCCGTAATACCTGAAAAAACAACAACAATTAGATACATAGTCAATTTTTTCGTTTTTTACGGGCTACAAATTCACAAGAAATGAACGCGGCAGTGGCGTATCTGATCACTTACTCTAGGGGGGGGGGGTAATCCAACTCAGGAAACGGTAGGTAGGTAGTTACAACTAGGGTCCCTTGATGGAAATTGACGTTAAAGTCATCTTAACAGGGTACGGACAGATCCTCGTCTCCTCTCACTCTAAAGTGTTTGTGAAACAGTTATATAGTTACATCCTTACTCAATTCTGGGGATAAACACTAGATTTTTGACATTCGTTGTTTTTTAGGTTATATTGAGGTCACTGGCGTATCATACGTTATTTTCATATGGAATTCCTGATTCAACTATACCAAGATATAGATACTACTCCAGCGTAATCTTTTCGAGGTAGGGAACATATAAATTGTACTGAAAGCTTAATATATTCTACCAAAAGAGACTGTTCTCAGACTGTATACCAGGGTTGACTGAATTGACTAAATGAATTCTGATTTCATGTTGAGCAGAAGTTTATCTATGAGCTGAATGAGCTGAGCGTTATGACTGAAAAATGGTGGAAACCTCGATATGGGGGTATCTGAACTACTGTACTCAAGTCATGTGCACATATGTGCTAAATATATTTTCGGAAATCCAATTCGGAGAAGAATTTATGGAGTGACTAATATCACACTATGTATAAAACTTCGTCTGGAACGAAAAGTAGGCTGATAGAAAGTAATACGTAAAATGAGCAGGAAAATAAAGAATAGAATATACTTTACCCTCATGTTATACATAGATGATTTTTCCGTCTCCTTCAAATAAAAAATCACTTTCGAATTATTTATTGATGAAAGTAACGAAGAAGTAGGTATACGCAGTATAACTTAGAAGCACGTTATTCTCACTCTTGCATCCTACATATTTTCTATTTGTGGTAGAGTAATAGTTATATAAACTAATGTTTTTCGCCATATTGGATCCGTCATCTTAAATTTTCAAATTTTGACGAAACAATCCTACCCCAAAAACCCCCAGATACCCATTTTGATAGAATCGGATCTTCAATACAAAACTCGTTAGCCATATTGGATCCGCTATCTTGAATTTCACAATTTAGACAAAAAAGCATGAATTCCGACCCCGAAAACCCTCAGATACCAATCTTAAATAGAATCAGATCATAATTAGAAATTTCTTTCGCTATATACTGGATCCGTCATCTTGAATTTTCCAAGTTTGACGAAACAATCATTATCTCCAACCCCGGAAAACCCCAGATACCTTCCAATTTCGAATAGAATCGGATCATAATTACAAAACTCGTTCGCCATAATATGATCTTCCTCAACAAGTTAATACCCTGTACATACCTATTATTAAAATTTTGAATGATTTTCTGTAGCGCCCATGGATGTGACGTGACAGCAATGTCAGGGATGCCAGTAAACAAAACCGAAGTCTCTAGATCATTAAAAAAGAATGCAGCTATGATCTGTCCGTACCCTGTTAAGATGACTTTAACGTCAATTTCCATCAAGGGACCCTAGTTACAACAAGAAAAAAAGATCACAATAAAAATGGAACATTATGAAATTTGTGAATATTTAGCGACATTTCTCCGTGATCTAGCGACATTTTTAATCATATTTTGTCATTTTCTGAAAGCTATATTCATTCAAAATCTGTTCAGAATAAAAAAAGCACATTATAAAAAACAAAATGAATATAAATTTTCCTATGAAATTACATTCGGTATTATGAGGTAGGTACATACATTGGTAAATCACAAAATACATTTCTCGGTCATATTTGCGGTATTTCTTTGATAAAATCACACATTAATAAACATGTCAAATCATGTCAACTAATATTTCTAGATCAACATCATATAGATCTGCGACTCTGATTTAGGCAAAATAAAATCTTCACGAGAATCATATAATTTGTAAAACCATATCGAATATACAAAAATTACAAAATATTATTCAAAAGTGGCAAAAGTGACACAACTGATGAAATCAAACCCTGTCATCTGTCATTCCCTTCTCTTCTTATCTCTTCGTCTCGAATGTTCCAATGTGATTTCATATCCGTCATCACCAATTCATGTGATCATATCTCCATATAAATAACCGCTATGACTATGTTGAAAACGCTAGAATTCCGACACGTCGCAAATCAAGTTGAAATGTCGCATTCACCTACCCTGAAAACTCTAGATTTAGCGACAAAACCGTTAAGATTACAACCCTGGTCGGGGTGCCGCTAGTGACCACAAGTTGTGGGTAACTTATCTCTGATCAAGAAGAAACAAATAACAAATTTGAATACAGATGTTGCGTGCGGTGTTCGACGAATAGGGTAGGTAGTATGAGACTCTTATATGGTCATTCCATGAGTACCATACTTGACACCGGCGAAAAATAATAGGGGTAACAGTAAACTTCTATGTCCTTGTTATCAATTTATGAAGTTTTTGTATTTTTTGTATTTTTCGAGGATTGAGGAGGGACTTCCCCCTCAGATACGCGCCTGGAACGAAGCCACAACCAGAAGGTCATCCTAAATTAGGACAGTAAACATTTAGGTCCATGAGCCAGTAATATCTTCATCAATGGTCCACGAGGCATAGATATAATTTTATAAAGAACAGATAGGGGTGGTGGGAGAACGGTAACAATCATACCTATAAAAAACAGAACAAAATGAAAAAATAGTCCATTTATATCAGGATGCAAATTCAAGGAATGAACGCGGGGATTCAACCAACATTATAACGAGAAGGAATGTCCTTAGGAAGTAGAATAATGTAATCTTGACTGTAATACCTGTGGTAATACTGTGGTTTTAGTTTAAACGAGTATGTGTTCATTTTTTTGAGCAAAGTTTATGACAATGCCGACTGGCTGATGTAAGTTAAATAGCTTGAAAAAAGTGATGTACTGTTTAGAGGAAGGACCTGCATAAGAATTTTTTTTATTGGTTGAAAATCAATCCGTCTTAACTTGACATGTATGGTGTTAATTTTATTTATTTGTTCTTTATTCCCTTGGTTCAGGGGCGGATTCAATGTCGACAGCGCCCTAGGCAAGCATCTATCGGCGCCCGTCTGGTGGTCATAAGATATTATAAATCATAACTACTAATATACGTGTTCAGGGTGAAGAAAGTAAGAGGGGTAGTTATTGTGAATATCGGGAATTTCACGGGCCGCACCTACGTTTCCCGTTCCTCCAATGCACATTTTCGACGACGACGCGCCCTTTTGTAATCTCGCTTCCCTAGGCACGTGCCTAGTTTGAAATGCCAAAGTTACTTCCTAATTGATTTCAACATCTAAACCATTGAGAAACGAAATTGTAACGACAAACAAAAATTCAGCGGAAACTATAAATTCCATCAGCAGGTATTATCACAAATGTAACAGCGACAAAACATTTCAGCCAAATATATTTTTTGCTGTGATTGCAATACATTGAAGTTTATTTTGAGCGGATGCCAAATACACCAGCTTTATTTACTGGACTTCATACATAATGCATACATTTTAATCCACGTTGCAAATGGAAGGCGGAATAATGTAATTCTGTGCATGATTGGCTTTTCAACACATTCATTACTTTGATTATCGATTCAGAATAAAAACAACGATAATGTTTGCTCTTGATAAATCATAAATCTCTCACTGAAATAGAATAACGAAATGCACTTATTAGTCCTTTTGATATGTTGCATACATTCGTGGAAGATGAATAATCACCACAGGTGTATGACGCTTAGCATAATGACATCTTGATAGCCTCAAAATTCGTATATTATGCAACCATACAGTTCACAGTTTGTATACTCATGATTTTTCGAATTTAGCAGTTTTGTCTTCATTATTTTTAATAACCCTTCCTTCCCAATGTTGATGATCCCAAATAGGTTTGAATGAGTGGTATTGATACATTGGTGAGAAATGTCTAATTGTCTAAAGTAATTTATTAAGAGAATATGCTCTTTAAAACTGCATACTATTTCGAACAGAAAGTGCGTGATAACAAAACATTTACGATCATTTCATCACCATTGGGATCTTGATAACTATGAGAGATAGATGTCGGTTTTCTGAGCTATTAAAGAAAAACAGAGATTTGTATTTTAGTTTTTCTCGAATATCTGGAAAACTATTAATTGTATGAAAAGACGACTTCAACATTATGATGGTACTCTTGACTCTTTTAATCGTTTTGTCGATTTTTGAAACCAAAGATTTGATTTCCAAATTGACAAATTATCAAATAATTTTTTAAATCTCGAAGTATGGAGAGAATGATTATTTGCGGCATAATAAGTATATGTAGAGACATTTTGTGAATAATTAATGACTTCGATGGTGTATAGTAGAGGTAAAATGCAATTTTGTCATTTACTATAGGAATACCTGGTATTCCAATATTTTATTGAAATGTCAGGGTATTATTAATTTTCTGCTTTCCTGTTTTGTCATACCTCAATTTTATGAATCCATCACTGTTGCTCGACAATGACAATAAGGAAATGAATTGCTAATAGTTTAATTACATTCATTTCGATATCTGAACATGACAATGTATTTAAACATCCACTAACTTCCAATTTTTCATCCCGTCACTTTGGCACCGTCAAAAATTGATGTGCGAAAAAATTCGAATTAACAACGACCAATTTTACCAGTCGAACATAAATTCTGCTCTACCCTTGAGTAGTGCCTGTTCAGCCGAATAGAAATAATAGTGGTCTGAGTGCATACCACCCGAACACACATGCACAAAAAAATTGGATTTGAATGCGCAATAGTGCAGCCAGTCGAAAACGCTATCAGAAATTTTGTATTTTTAACAAAAACTGTCCAATCCATTCGAAAGAACTAAAAAGTACTATTAGAATGTTGAAGTCGTTTTATCATACAATCAATAATTTTCGAGATATTCGAGAACAAAAATACAAAATTTCAGTTTTT